GGCCCCATACTGTTTTAAATTTATGGATGAGAGAACACAGCTTACTTTTAAGAACTTAATTAGTTTTGCTAGTGCTGACTTCCTAAGAGGAAAAGTTATCAACAATGCTATTTTTTCAAATCAGAACTTGAAACATAAGATTTGAGGAAGAATTTTTCTTAACACTTCCTGGTTCGAGAGGCACTCTGGAAGATTCAATTTTTTTAGGCTAATAAATAGAGAAAGACAAAGCACTTTGCTTTTTCCAGGACACATAGTCACTATACATGTTAGTCAGGGAGAAAATCGTGGCTGGTTTTCTTATCCAACAGCTGCATCTTTGTATATGTGTGAGTGTGTGTGTGTGTGTGTGTGTGTGTGTGTGTGTGTTGGGGGGGCAACTGGGGTGCAGGGGGAAAGGCACTGTTAGTTTCAATCCTTACAAAAAGATGAATGTTCTATTTTGGGAGAATTCACAAGCAGTTATTCTTTCCTGTAGAATTAATAAATAAAGAGAGTTGAAGTAATCTTCAAAGTGGAGTTTTTGAAGAACAGTTTAAATCAAGAGGAATTGCTCGGCACAGCTAGGAGCTTGGGTCCCAATTCTGAGTTCTGGACGCATTATTTCCCTCGAATTCTTTCTCCCCTTTTTCTTCTTTTTCCTAGCTTTTGTTTATTGGATGCTTACCATTCATCAGACAATTTTCTAAGCTATTCACATACATTTTCTTATTTAATTTTCACACAAGCATATGAGAGAAGTAAGATTGTTATCTCTAACTGACAAAGAAATCAAGGTTCATGAAGGTTAACTAACTTGCCCCAGATCAGGCAGAGGGAAAGGTAGAGCCAGAATTCAACATTAGGTCTCTGGTTCTAGACTTTGAACTCTTCACCACCACAGCATTCTGCTTCCTCACTAAATGTTTTTTGTTCTTTGTCTCCAGGGACAGAATGAGAACTTCAGTCAATGTTGTGGGTGACTCTTTTGGGGCTGGGATTGTCTATCACCTCTCCAAGTCTGAGCTGGATACCATTGACTCCCAGCACCGAGTGCATGAAGATATTGAAATGACCAAGACTCAGTCCATTTACGATGACATGAAGAACCATAGGGAAAGCAACTCTAATCAGTGTGTCTATGCTGCACACAACTCTGTCATAGTAGATGAGTGCAAGGTACCTTTCCCCTTCATGGATATTGAGACCTGTATATAATAGTGCATGCTTGATTTCTTAAAACAAACACCAAAGCCCTGCATGTATTATTGTCATATTTATTTTTCTAAACAATCATGTAACCCAAGCTTCTGTGAGTCCCAGATCATCTAACTCTCTGTCTAACATGGCTGGAAATCAACAAGTCTAACAGTGAAAGAGCCAATCAGTTGCTTCTTTCATCCATATGATGTAAAACAATTGTTCTGATCCACCTATACACCCAGTCCACAAATTTGATTGGTTTTCTTGAATATTTTGCCCAGGAATTCCTGGTCTCTGGGAGTTTGTTGGCATGCAGTGTGACTGCAGAAGAATATTGTGTTCCTTAAGTGAAACACCAAGAGAAATACCCAGAATCATTTGATTTGTATAGCACAAATATTCCTCCTTGCTGTGTTTCTTTCATGTGTTGGTCAAAAATGCACCCACATAACTGTGCAGCTATCTTTATCTTATTTTTTGTGGGAAGGTGAGTTTTGACCTGGCAGTCATTGTGCTCCAAAAATGGGGAAAGAATTTCAAATAAAGGATAACTATCCTTCAGGACAATCATCCATAGGTGTTTTTTTAAAAAACACAGAATTTTACACGCTGCCTGGAAGTACCATCTTTCCTGATGCATGGATGTTCTGGACTCTTCCAAGCTGTTGGGTGCTAAGTCTTCAAGCTTGAAGGGCTCTGTCTAGCCTTCATTGTAACTAACTTGACATTGTCAAAAACAGAGTCATGACCAGAGTGAAGCAAACTTGGAGAAACCCTGGAAGGTGAGCAGAGACTCTGGGAGTGGGATTGCCAAAATGGTTCCAGGCACCAACACAGATTTCTGATACCTTTTTTGACTCTTGTTGACAAGATCTCATTTAATAGTTAATTTCTTTTTGTCTTACTTCTGGGTCATTCTAAATATACACAATGATTTCTGCCAGGCAACTAAGAATAACGTAGAACTAATTTTCTTTACTGGATTGCAACATAGGTCCAGAAGTCTAATGGACCAGCCACAGCCTTTTGCTAATCCTCTCTGTATCAGGTGTGGGTGAACCAGGGATCTGATACAAATTAGTGAGGGACCTCACCCATCAAGAGGCAATTGCATAAATTAGTTGACTCAGTGAAAATGATTCAAATTATAAAACATTCAGATGTACCTAAAGTGCATAGTCCATTCTCCTAGAAAGTTAGTGTTTACCACATCTAAATGAATGTGCTGGATTATTCCCTCATTAAAATGTTAGTTTGGGGGCCGGCCGAGTGGCACGATGGTTAAGAGCTGGCTTGGGACGCCAGAGGCCCCCGGTTCAGATCCCACATGTGAGGGCCAGTGACACTGCCCTCTACAAAAAAATAAATAAATAAATGTTAGTTTGGGTCAACAAGGGTCAACATTCCTAAGGAATGGCTTTATTCTATATTACATTTAATAAGTATTTATTGTGTGCCTTGTGAGGTTTAGTTGAGCACCTTCATCTCATTCCTATGGCCTCCTATATTTTGATCATTCACCAAATGTTCATTGAGTTACCATTATCTGCAAAGCCCTGAATTAGGCATGGGAGGAGAGCAATGTGAATGTACAATTTATGTAGTAGAGACAAGGGTTGGTCCCAA